GTTAGTATTTTCTCACAGCCAACTCCACTGGTCAAATCTGGAGCCTGATACTCCTGCCTCTCAACTACTTGTCTCTGTCCTGGGGCCTGACCTGAGGTATTCACACACCTCCAACTGCAACAAGTCTACACTGACTTCAGAACTTCCTAATCTCGAGGATCCCAGGAGAATATGCTCAGGTCTGGATTCTCCCTGGGTGTCTGACCACAGTCCACCAGCCTGCGATCAGGGTAAAGGTCAAGGCTCACAGATACTCCAAGGCTCGCAGCAGTGGGTCTTGCCCTCCCGGGAGGGAGTCCTGACAAACTGGGCCACCCTGCAGTCCTCAGGCTCACGTACAGGGTTCCCCATGCACTGCCAACTCCGAGGTATCTCCTGGATCACCACCAACTTACCTCCATCATCCTAGTTCCTCCTGAAAGAGGGAGGAAGCAGAACAGAAATAGATTTATGGTGCACCCCGAGAAAGAGCTGCTGCCTCTGCCTCCAGGAATGCTTCAAGAGTAAAAAGGAGCCCTGGCCAGTTTGGCTCAGCGGTTAGAGCGTCGGCCTGCGGTCCTGAGAGACCCGGGTTCGGTTCCCGCTAAGGGCACGTGCTTCGGTTGCAGTTTGTCCCCGGCCCTGGTTGGTTGTGTGGGTGGCAGCCACTCCATGTGTCCCTTCACGAAAAAAATGGAAAAATATCCTTGGGTGAGGATAAAAAAAAAAAAAAGAGTAAAAAGGAGATAAAGACTAAGTGAAAAAACAAAGAAAGAACAAAAAAACCCAGAAGGATTCATCACTGTTGTTTGTTTCTCAGATTACAGTCTGGCTCATAGAATGTTGAGAGAGTTTCACCAGCTAAAATCTGTGACCATTCTCAATGGGTGCAGCCCAAGCACAGATAAAGTTTTGCATTTTGTTAAGATATTTGATTAAGTTATTAAAGCTCTCAGTGCCTGAAGTCAGGCTGGGTTGGGATTAAAGCTCAGCTGAGCTACTTGTCAACTGTGTGACCTCAGAAAAGTGATTTTACCTAAGCCTCAGTTTTCTCATCTGTAAAACAGAAATAATTGCACCAATTTCATAGGAGGGTTTGTAAAGATTAAATGACATATTGCTTGTAAAGTACACTGTCTGGTCATGGAAAACATTCTATAATACTAGTTACTACTATTACCATTATTATTTTGAGAAAGTTACATAATATCATGATCTTATACAGGGTTGCAGTATATAACTCTATATTTTAATATTAGGGCATTTTTTAAATATATGAGCCATTGACTTCAACACACCACCTGATTCTGCATTTGGCTGTCCAATCAATTTTGACTAATGTCATGATAAAAAAAAAATTTTTTTTTAAGCAATCCTGCTATACCTGCGCACCCCTTCCCTTCCCCTAGGAAGCTGTGTCTCTCCCCTCAACTGCTCTCGCCTCTCCATACGCTTGTGAGAACAGCAGCACTGCCAGCTGGAGGACAGTGACTGACTTGCATGTGGATGTGTCATCCAACAGCTCCCCCAATGCTGTGTGCAGCTCAATGGGAAGGCTGAGTTTTGATTTGCAAATGGCTATTTGCAACATCTGTTCCAACTAAACAAATATTCCAAACTGGGATTTGGGGTTCTGAAGGACTGTTTCCTGTCTTATTTTTCTAGGTAGAGAGTCTGATCACAATTCTCTCTCAACCTTACCCTCACTTTCCTGGGTCATAAACAATGCGGTCATCACTAACCACCTCCTGATAGTATAGAATGTCTCTCCCAAATATACTCTTAGTCTAAGGACTTTGGGTCGACCTATATAAACTATGCTAACCTTTCCAGACTCCTCAACTCCCTCAAGTGCAGATTACCCAAACCCCAGCCTCACCCCTTCTTCACTCTGTGTACTCAACCTTGAATTGGTCAGTCATCCCTTATCGCACCTCTTCCAGTGACAAGACATCCACCTATCAGCCACCAAGTTCTCCCCATTAGATTGATCTCCAAGGGCTTTATATCTACGAAACATTTCAAACTAGAGTGTCCTGCTGACAATTCAACTCCATCTCAAAAAGTAAGAGTCAATGAAATAAGCATGGGTCTAGTAGTGAGGCAACTTAAGTAGAAGCTCTGGTTACACCACTAACTAGCTTAGCTAAGCATATCTCAGTTACTCCTCTATACAAATGAGGGAATGGTCTGGATAAAGTGGTACCTTATACTCTAAGATCCTAAATGTCCACCCTCTCCATGTCAAAATACACTATTTATTCATGCAATAACTATTGAGTATCTAATACTGCAAAGCTACCATTTCTGGCATTATGAGGTGTTAAAGATCATCCCCCAAAGAGCTTATCAGCTAGAATGGGAAATAAGACAATCACATCAACAACTGTAAGAAAGAGAAATAAATGCCCGGCTGGTATGGCCCAGTGGATTGAGTGTTGTCCCATGGACTGAAAGATCCCAGTTTGATTCTGGGATCAGAATCATGCCCAGGTTGTGGGCTTGATCCCCAGTAGGGGGCATGCAGGAGGCAGTTATGGATGTTTCTCTCTCACATGGATGTTTCTCTCTCTCTCTCTAAAAAATCAATAAACACACACACACACATAAAAGAAAGAAATAGAAATAAATAATGTCATGATTGTAGGTATTTATAAAATAAAAAGAATATTACAAGCCTATTACCAACATACTAAGCCTGAAGCTAAAGTAATTTTTAACATGTCTTTCCTTTTCTGCATCTAGTCTTTTACCAAATGCTTTTTCCTTTACACCATTTCTTAAATCTGTGCTCTCCACTCTGCATTTGGACTGACATGGTTAAATTCAGGCCTTGGGCAATACTCCCCTATGATGATTTTACCTCTGTCCCCAAGAATTCCCTAACTGATGTGTGATTTCTCATCAAAATATGAGAATCACTCCATCAAGCTTGTTTGACTTGACAACTATCTTGCTACGGCTCCAAGGTGGCCTCCCCCATATTACAGAACATCCACATCAAATCCCTTTAAAAACGATCTGTACTTCACTTCCTCCCTCTCACAAACAATGGCTGAGAACATACTTTGTACTTCGTGCTGGGTGGGATATTTAAATCATAAACTTTAACCTCTAAGAGCTTATGCGCTGGTCAGGAAGTTGGGACATGTGCTAAAATACAATTCAGAAATCTAAACACAAGGGGAATTCTTGCAGCACAGACAACAATAATAAATGCTAGAGGATTCAGAACATGGAGAGCTACTTTCTGGCCACAGTAATCAAGGAAAGCATCTAAGAAGAGGTCACACCTGAGCTACTCCTGGCGGTATGTGCAGGACTTCAAGGAAGGAGGCAAACAGGTATTCTGGCCCAAGGGCCCAATGTGACTGAGACAAGGAAGGAGGGCAGCTTCAAGACCAGCAAATAGTTAGGTGGGACTTAGGTGAAAGGAGATTATATATATATATATATATATATATATATATATATATACACACACACACACACACACACACACATATATGAGAGCGGATACTTTCTGAAAGAACTTTACAAGGTACTAGCAAGTTTAGTAGCAGGAATAACTAATTATCTGCTTAAACCAGACTACACAGTATAAAGCTGTAGATGTTTAACAATCTAACCAAACTGTGAAGAGAGCATTAACAGGGGGATGGTAAAAAGAGCCCTGAAAATCAGAAAACCTGTGTGCCAGGCCCCATTTTGCCAAGGAGGGGCTCCAGCAGCCACAGCAAGTCATTTAACCTCATTGGTCTCAGTTTTCTCATTTGTAAACTGAAGCAGCTGAACTGGCTGACCTGGAAGATCTCTACAGTCCAAAACTAAACCAGCTGTATATTATTTCTGCCATTAAAACATTCATTGTGGGGGTGGAGGGAAAGGCAGATAGCTGTATTTCCTTTCCATATAGATTTCTCTTCTTGAACTAAAAATTTATTTTTCCTATTAATTCTCTGTATATACCTTCCACATTATAAATTTAACACTTAACCTAAATAATGTTCAGTGTCTGTGTGTGCCCTGTGGCCTAAAATTTTGTTTATGGCTCACAGGTTACGCAAGAAATGTGTGCAATACAGCCTTTGCCTAGTAGGCATGTAAGCAATACTACAGCCCCAGGGTAAATTATCTGTATGAGACACAAAATGTGACAGAGTAAATAAAAGGGGGGAAAAAGTGAGAACTATTTCTCATCTAAAAGACTACTTCCTTTTAATAGCACCAAATAAGGCCTGAAATAACAGTAATGTAGAAAAGTAAGGGAAAGGGTGTCCTTAAATTTTGCAAAGTCTCTACCTAAAAACGCAGCCGGCCCTGGCCAGGTAGCTCGGTTGGTTAGAGCGTCCTTGGCTATGCCAAAGTTGTGGTCAGATCCCAGGTCAGGGCACATCAGAGAATCAACTATGAATGCATAAATAAATGGAACAACAAATCGATGTTTCGCTGTCCCTTGCTCTCTCTCTCTAAAATCAATAAATTAAAAATGCAGCTAAAATGCAGCAAGTTTTTGGCACTAAAATTCGCAGAAAGTTTCCTTTTTCAATGCCGCACTCCGAGGCCCGTCCGGGAAAGGCACCAACGCCGGAAAGCGCGGCGGCGGCTTCACTCTGGCCCTATCGATCCCCTGCACCAAGAGTCCGGGCAAACGAGCCCGGCGCAGAACCAAGCGAAGCAGGCTGGGTCACAGCCTCAGCAGCAGCCACCCACCCAAAGTTGGAGAGAGAGAGGAAAACAGCAAAGTTACAAAATCCCTAACTTCATGCAGGGAATCGGGGCACAGTTCTCGGGCTTACTGCATAAGCTGCATAAATACACAACTTAGCACCTGCCCACACTACCGCCAGCCCGACCCGGGCAGGAGAGCCCTGGACTCGGCGGGCGCCGGGAGCCGCTCGAAGCGAGGGGAACCGGAGCGACTCCCCCAGCAGCTGTGCGCCAGGGACAAAGTGAAGCTTTGTTTTCCGCCTGCGGGGCAGCCCTGCTCTGGTACCCAACCGCCGCGCCCCCGTACCCACCGCGGTGGTCCCGCCGGCGCCGCTGGTCCGCTCTGCGGCTCCCTCGCTGCGCTCGCCGGTCTGCAGCGCTCGCCGGTCTGCTGCGCTCGCGCCACTGCGCATGCCCGGCCGGCACCCAGGCCAGCAAACAAAAATTCCACTTGCCGGGTTTTGGCCGCGGCTCCCAGGGAAAAGAACCCGAGTCCCATCCTGGGTTCGGAGGGTGCCGGGAGACACGAGGGGAAGACTGGATGGGCGCTGCCGGTAACGTTATCCCTGCTGCCCAGTGACGCAGGACTTATGCATCTCCCATCCTAAAGATGACCACCTACATCCCTGGAATGAGTTTAGCACAGTGGTTCTCAAACGAACTTCGATCAGAATCACCTGCATGGCTTCTTGAAACACAGATCCCATACCCAGAGTTTCCGATTCGGAAGGTCTATAGTGAGGCCCAACAATTTGTATTTCTAACATTTTGTCGGGGGAAACTTTTGCTACTAGTCCCTGTACAATGCTTTGAGAACCGCTGGTCTAGAGAAAAGGGGAAAGTTTTCTCTCTCCCTCCCCTTTTTGAGATTTCACAAAACATTTCCTCTTCATTTAACAACCACACCTACTTTAAAAATAAGTCAACAACTACACCTGGCACTCAAACAAAGGTGGGATATTTCCTCTAGTACGTGCGTCAAGTGCATAGAATGCAGCCCCAAGACTTCTTACAGAGTTTGCACAGCATGATGTATCCTTGTGTTTATTTCAGCTCTGCTGGTGGAGGCAACAGAAGGGGTTCCTGTTTCGCTGCCCTTTTAACTCAGAGTCCTGTGTGCCCCCTCCCTACATAGCACATTACTGGGTACAAAATAGGTGCCCAAGAAATTCTGAGATGGTGTCAGTAGGGCTAGAGAGTTGGAAGGAAAGAAGGATGTTGAAATTATTTTAGGAAACCAAAGAAATTGATAAGCAGTTAAATATGGAAGTACATTTACCAAGTTTGGGGAGGATGGGGATTTTTTCCTGCCTTCTACTTGAAGAAATTGGTGGAAGAAATTGGTGAGATTTAGTATCCTTATCTGAGCCCAGATATACAGGAGTTGAGTATGTAAGTTCTCACAAAATATTTCTTTTCTTTTTTTATCCTCACCTGAGGACATTTTTCCATTTTTTGTTCAGATAGAGTGGGAGGGAGAGAGAAAGAAACATCGACGTGAAAGGGACACATCAAGTGGTCGCCACCCGCACGACCCAACCAGGGCCGGGGACAAACTGCAACCGAGGTAGTGCCCTTAGCGGGAACCGAACCTGGGTCTCTCCGGACCACAGGTCAACGCTCAAATAGCTGAGCCAAACTGGCCAGGGCACAAAATATTTCTTAAAAAGTTAAACACACATCTGCCATACAAGCCAGCCATTCCATTTGTTCTGCAATAAAACTGACAAGTTCAGTGGCAGAAAGTAACCTCACAGGTGATCTGATCATGAGCTCCTAAATGGGCAGGACATGGTGGGTGGTCACCCAAGGCATATAACTGTTTTAGTAAAATATTTATCTTCACCTTAAGCAAGCCCTGTCCAGTTGTTCTTAGGCATCTAAATTAACACCTTTGAAACACCAGATATTCTCCTTTTTTCAGGCCCCTCTGAAGCAATCACCCTCAAGAAAGCCCATAATCTTGCCAACTACCCTGGAATGGTATTCCTGCTTTGCTTTCTCCCATGTGATCTTTCTTATATTCCCTCCTTAATTTCAAATGTATGAAAGAAACTTCAAAACCATCATTCTCCAGAACACTTGAGATTGTCCTAAGTTTGGCTCAAATATACTCATATAAAGATTCTCTACAAGTTTGGACATTTCTTTTTTGGGGGGTGGGGGGGCTGACCACTTTGGCTCAGCAGTTAGAGCGTACACCCATGGACCAAAGGGCCAAGGGTTAGGTTCTGGTCAAGGGTACATACCTCATTTTGGTTCCTCCCCGACCTTGGTCAGGGTTGTGCGGGAGGCAACCAACCAATGTATGTCTCTTACCTTGATGTTTCTCTCTCTCTCTTCCACTCTATCTGAAGATAAATGGAAAAATATCCTTGGGTGAGGATTTAAAAAAAAATTTTTGTTGTTTTATTTTTATTGTTGACACTATTAGAGATGTTCCTCATGGACATTTCTTACACTGACATATTTGCAGGTATTATCCAAGAGAAATGAAAACATATACGTTCACACCAAGACTTGGACAGGAATGTTTATAGCAACTTTTTTCAGAGTAGCCCCTAACCAGAAGGAGTCCAATGTCCATCTAATAGGTTAATGGATAAACAAATTGTGGTACATCTATGTAATGGAATAATACTCAACAAAAAAGGGAAATAATTATTCATACAGGCTTCAACATGAATAAATCTCAAAATCAGTATGCTGACTGGCAGATGCCAGGGACAAATGTATGGTTCCATTTAAATCGAGTGTTCAAACCTATAGTGATACAAAGTAAATCAGTAATATCTTGAAGCTAGGGGTGGAGGGAGGCATGGGCTGTAAAGAGGCAGTAAAAATATTTAGGGGATCATGGAAATCTTCTCTTGATTGTAGTGAAGATTTCATAGGAGTATACACTGTCAAAACTAAATTGTACACTTAAAATTAAAAGTATGGAACAACTCATTTCTAAAAGTTACAAACCCCAAGAAGTGATTTGTAAGTTTATTGCTGATGAAACTAACATATTTCCCCCAAAAAATCTCCCAAATATAAAACAGTAAACAGAGTATAATTAGGAATGCACAACCAGTGAATAATAATTATAAAGAAAATTATCTGCTGGCCTGATTATATCACTAACAATGAGAAATACAGTTTTCAGACTGTGTTTCTGAGAGCCGGGGTGTCGTGGAAATGGTAACTGAGCAGGGCTCTAGGTCAGGGCCCCAGTCCAGCCAGCACACTATTACTTCCGTGGTGGATTTTCCTCTGAGATTTTACTTGATAAAAGGGTTCCACTGATAATTAAAAGAGCAATAGTTTAAAAGTAATGGCAACAGGTAGGAAGAATTCACAGAGAAAATCGCTGTATTTCTTGGGCACAAGCATTCTGGTCATGAAAGCATACACTGAAGTTATAATAATCATGTTTCAGTTTTTTCAAAATAGTTGCAATTTAAAATATTTCTTTATCCAATAATATTATGTCTAATCATGTATCCCAGCTGATGGTTGAAAAAAATAAAACCAACTTAAATTGAGATAAGGATAATTTTCTGGATCTTCTATAGCATATATAAAATATTAATGGAATAATATCAATAATAATAAATATTAATAACACTGCTGGGAGTTATTTAGCTCTTACTCTGTACAAATAACTATTATAAGCACTTTAGAATGTTTTACTTTTTAATTTTTATTTGTTGATTTTAGAGAGAAAGAAAAACATTGATTTGTCATTCCATTTATTTATGCTTCATTTGTTGATTTTTGTATGTGTCCTGACCGTGGATCCAACATGCAACCTTGGTGTTTCGGGATGACACTCTAACCAACTGAGCTACCTGGTTAGTGCTAGAATGTTTTCTCATTGTCATATCCATGACAACTCTATTAAGTTATCCTCATTTTTTAGGTAAGAGACACACAAAAATATTAATTATTTTTCTCATAATACAACTAAATACAGACTAAAAACTAAATTGAAAGCTGTACTTTATACAAATACAATCTTTGCTGATACCACACTTCCCAAGGATTATTAATTTATTTTTTCAGGCTCATTGATACTGGAAAGAGGATCACACAGAGCACCTCCAGTAGTCACCACCATCATCATCTTCACCATCATCTCTAATGTCTGTTCCATGTTCCCTGTGTGCTAGCTGCTGTGCCAAAAACTTCATGGTCTCTCTCCTATTTAATGCTCACAAGAACAAAAGAAGGGGTTTGAAAATATCCAGTAACAGAGAGAGTGAATGAATGATGGAGCCAAGATTCCAACTCAAGTCCAACTCTGAATGTATGTTATTCTCACAAGTAGCCCCTACAAAGTTATAGTATATCCCATACTCTTAACAATAAGAAGGGCATTCTGTGTTATAAAGTGAGTCTCTGGATGTGGTTAATGTTAGTTCCCTGGAGCCTTATGGTTTCTGAAACGTTTATAATCACAACACTCAACTGCCACCCAGCCCTAATCCTAACCCTAAAATCAGCTGCTACTCAGGGGCACCCATTTCACCTTCCATTTCAGGGAAAGTGGGTAAATTTTGAATGACACTGGGTAACACCAGGAAGCATAACAGGAAAATGTTTACTTTATTTGGCCACTTTTGCAAAATACAGGGAATAGAGAGGGGGGAAAAACTATATAGGTGAAAAAGTCTAAGATTTAGTTCAATTCTGGCTTTATTTCTTTTAAATCATGTGGAAGAGAAAAGAATAACCTAAGAAGTAAGGAGACAGAAAATAATGCAAAACCTCTCTCTCTCTCTCTCTCACTGTTTAATAGAGATTGGATCAAAATAGCTAACCAAGTACATGTACCTATACCCTACCTAGCACATAAAATCTCATAAAATGATAGAGAAGATACTTTTTTAAAGTAAAAGATACTGTTTTAAAGTGGGGAAAAAAATCCTAGGAAAACAAGAGAAACTGCCACCAACAAGCCAGAAGTATTGAGAACAGAATGCAGATAGGCTCACGTCTCAGAAAAAGGAAATGAAAGGAAAGTTCAGCTGAAATCACACAGAAGCAGGTGGAGGAAGGGTGTGCAAGCTCAGTTAGCAGATCAGTAAGTAGGGGAGAGGGCACCGTGGCGCTGGTCAGAGTAGCTGGAGAAAGAGGTCTAAAGCAACCAGACTAGTCAACAACTTGCTCCTCCACACTGGTGGCCCAGTAGCCAACTTTTAGGAAGAACATAAATCTTTCACACCTTGAGGATAAGCTACCAACACATCTTTGCCTTTTGAGTGCTGTTCCTTACCTCAAATGGGCAGAGCTTGGCTCAGCTAATAAAAAGGCAAAGTGAATAGACAGTCTAAAATACAAAATTGAACAGATAACTAAACATTATCACACATTTGGAG